CCATCGTTAGTTTACTATTGTCGAAATCATTTTCCGACGGACTCATTGAGGATATTTTGGTTTTGCCCTCTTACATCTCTGCGCCATACTTTCAAGCTCCCCCAGAATCGACAAACATGTTCGTGCCTCTCTCCCTCAGGACTCACCATGTTTCTCGATGTAGCCACAGAGGCGCACAGCTACTGTGGGGACTCCGTCTCTTCCTGAGGGAAGTTCATCAAGGCGCAGGCCAAATATGCGTCCTGCTGGACCTCCTCCACGCCGTCCCATGAGCAGAGTTCCCGTCAACATTCGCTTCACACGCGACAAGCGACTCTCCTCCTTATTGCCGACGTCCACGCGAGAGTAACAATCTTCCACGACGGTGATGTTGCTGCAGACGGTCGGTCGTCTCATGACGTCACAGCACGTCTCCTTCCTTGCAGAGCCGCACTGAAAGATACTGCAACTTGTCAGACAGCAAACCATGATCAGAGGAACATTGAAGATAAGTCGATATATAAAGTCACCTAGTCAAGCCGTCTTTAACAGACCCCTCAAGTCCATTACAGTGTTCACAAAAAGTCCCTATCTTGAGTCAGACGAGCCCAGTCCACACAAACCCTCCCCTCTATTCTTAGGTCGTCGAAGTATCGTCCTCGAAGGTCCTTCAACCCTTCTGGATTTTCAACCAAAATATTTGAAATTTCTCATGCGTGGTACATACAAACCCAGGCCCTCTAAAACTCCAAAAACATTTAAATGTACGCACAGCAGAAGGGGCACGCGATTCTGTAAGTATCGTCTGTGTATCAGGGCAGCAGCTAATTGAATAATTTAATTCTAAAAAAATTGCGCAAATTACAATGACATTACAGGCTGCAACATGTTAGTTCCATGTCCTGCCACCACCGCTGTTAAGGTCGCATTAATTTCCGTTTGAGGCCAATTGCAAAGTCTTCTTTCCGTCCGTCACAAAACCATGAAATCGTCTGCGGACGTAAGGATCTAGAATGGTTTACAGCTGCTTTAAAAGCGAACTCATCTCGTATGGAGATGGCTCTACTCTGGGTTGCAGCGCCGTGTAGTCTGG